TAAAATTCGCTCAATAAATTCTTCTTCAATTCTGATCGGGATTTGTTTCTAAGGAAACTTGTTTCAGTACGATAATCACTATGTTCGACTATTTTGATGATTATTCTTCGTGGGTCCAAAAACACCGCATGGATGTTGGAAAATTTAGAAAAAGTCTGGTTTGTTATAATTTTTAAAAATTTGTTTTTCAAATATATAATGGTAAAATAATTTATAGAATTTTTCAAAAACTGCTAGACAAATGTTTTCATAATTCTGACGAATCTACTTTCATCATATCAATATTCAAAACTAGGTTACCCAATGTATATTATCGTGTCATTTCAGTGTTGAAAGTGATATTTTATTCCACCAGTGTTGAAAGTCATTCACTTGATTCACGCTCAACATTAGGGTTCAAATTAAATAAGACTAGTTACTTCAGTGCCAATTTCGTACCCTTACAAAGCAAGTTTCCCGTTGTGGATCCAAAAAAGCGCATGGATGTTCAAAGATTTGAAAGAACTCTGGTTGCTCCAATTTTGTGGCATTTGTTATTGGAAATAAATAAGAATTGAAAAATTGTTCTACAAATTTTCCAAAACTGCTTGACATATTTTTCTAGAATTTTGGCGAAACGTTTCTACAAATATATCAATATTGAAATTGGGTTTTCTAAAGTATGCCAACGTGTCATTCCATGTTAAAAGTGTTAATTTATGGCACCAGTGTTGAAAGTCATTCAATTGATTCACTTTCAACATAAGGGTTCAAAGTAAATGACCAGTTGTTTCAGTGTCAATTTTTTACTCTTGCAAAACAAGTTTTCTCTTGTGCCTAACATAAAACATTTTGTAACATTCTTAGAACTTCTGTAGCATACACATTTTTGTCTCTATAGTCTGCTAGAGGGGCAACTGTTTGGTTTTACATTATTTTTAATCGGAGTAGAGCGAATACTAAAAATTCCGGAGACAAAATACTTGTATATTGATTTCGAGTCGCTTCATGAATTGAAAAACAATGACATTTTCTCTGAACGCTTTCGAAGTTGTCAATTGATACTCGGGTTGAAAATTATGTAGTGATCGGTCGGAAAATCCATATTTCGATAATGCCTATTGGTCGAATGCGGTCAGGATCGTTTTCTTTTCGGTCGAAAACGCAGGAAAAAAATGACGCGAACAGCATCAAAGTAAATCTCGAGCGCAGAGGAAGCTTAACGTCCTCGGCTCCAACCATATACGAAAAGAGAAGAGGTAGTTTGATAATAAGGTAAAAAAATGCATTTATATGTTTCAACTCCACTTTTTCAAGTTCACATTTCAGCGTCATCAAATATTTCCATTTACTACCGATGATAGGCGAGTGGACTATTTCTTTTTATTCTTTAAATGGATCATCACCCAAATACCTTTCAATTTCATATTTCTTGAGGATTTTTCGGTCGATTTTTAGGTGCTAAAATCATCAATAATGCCACTAATTTTCAAACGGCTAGAAATTTACCGCCAGTAAGAACTGACGCCACGATTTCGTAGGTAGGGGCAGACCATAGCACAGTTACCATGTGTTGAAATTCGATTGGGAACTGCAGAAATATTAGTTATTCAATAATTCATCTCAATTGATCGAGTATTGGTAATATTCCTAATTAGCAATAACAATTCAATCGTCTCGAAATGTTCCCTTATGAGTTTATGTGGCTTATTGCTTTTAATCAATTTGTGTAAATAATAATTATATTAATTCACACTAGAGGACATTTGAATCGGTGAACGTGACAACCCCGCTCACGACTTGTGGGCGTGGTATTGTCAGTTCTCAGCATTCAGCACAATGTTGCCAAGTCTACAACATTCACATGATACTTTGTTATTATTATTTTTTTTGTGTTCTGGTTCCCACGAAAAGGGATATCCTGTAATGTTCAGAGAACATCGTGAGAACCAAGGGAAATAAAGTAGGATTTGGTGTTCTCCTTGAATTTCTGGAGGTTATATGCCTCGGGGAACACCTCCCTTGGCAATGTGTTCCAGAGCCTCGCTGTTTGTTGGACATGCTGGTTGCTCGAAAAATTCAAGAATGAGCTATAATGTCATCATTTATGAACAATTTAAGAATAAAGTCATGTGTTATTTATACAGGGTGAACAACTAAGAACGGCTGCCTGCCATATCTTAGCAACGAATAATGGTACAACTTTGAAAAAAAAAACTCTAAAATAACCGCTAGTTGGCGTACCGTAAAGAGAAAAATGAAATTTTCTCCGTAGGAACAAGGTGTACTGAAAATATACGCAGTTCAATCCTAGATAAATTCCAAGTTTTTTTGTTTCACTTTTTTTGTTCCATCACAAAAAATTAATTGGTGGGGGAAATTATGTTTTTCTTTAATTGTCCGTAACTCTGGTTATCTTCAATAGAATTCAACTTCATATGACTGTAAACAATTTTGACTCTCAATTTTTTTGTATACAGGGTGTCCCATTAGTCATGGATCTAAAGTAGAGGGGTGGTTTGGTATCAAACGAACGTTATACAGTGTGACCCATTTAAAATGGAACCACCCCTGTATCTTACGTAGTCGTTGGGTAAGGATCCCGAAATGGAGCGAGAGATATACCAAAAAAGCACTCTATGACCAAGTGGGGTCGGTCATCTTCAGTGATATACACTGCTCGCCAACAGCCATGAAACTATCCCAATTTCCGGAAAATGATAGTTGGAGTCAAAATAGGTCGAAAATCACTTCAGATTTGGAATCAGGACGCCCAATTTACTAACTATTCAAATTTTTCCTGGAAAATTTTCAGTTCGGAAAAATGAAATTTTGTCGAATTTTTTATGGAAGCACCCCCGTATCTCACGTAATTGACTTTATCTTTGGACTTTCTCTTCCTCCGGCAAATTTCAGAACCGTACCTCAATAATTACGTGAGATACGGGGGTGCTTCCATAAAAAATGCGACAAAATTTCATTTTTCCGAACTGAAAATTTTCCAGGAAAAATTTGAATAGTTAGTAAATTGGGCGTCCTGATTCCAAATCTGAAGTGATTTTCGACCTATTTTGACTCCTAATATCATTTTCCGGAAATTGGGGTAGTTTCATGGCTGTTGGCGAGCAGTGTATATCACTGAAGATGACCCCACTTGGTCATAGAGTGCATTTTTGGTATATCTCTCGCTCCAGCAAAGTTCAGGATCCTTACCCAACGATTACGTAAGATACAGGGGTGGTTCCATTTTAAATGGGTCACACTGTATGTGGTTATCAAATTGTTGATGGTTCAAAAGTTATTAATGTTTTCTGGAAAATGCGACCCATTTGAAAAAAAATAATAAAGAGGCTGTCTTGAATAACCCCTTATTTTAAACCATTTTGAAATCTGTATTGAATTTGCAACTATCTGCCAGCGGCATTTAAAAATTAACTGAAATAGTTCATTCAATGACAAAACTTGAGGAAAACAACAATTTTCTCAGGTAATTGATATGAAGTAACACAGGTCATGAAACTATTTCTATGGAAACGTGCATTCATGCGGATGGAATTCGTAAAAGAAATAATCACGAATGTGACATAGTTTTATTGTAATTAATTTTATTTTTATACAAATGAAAAGAAAATTATAACTTTTGGACAATCAACAATTGTGTAACCACAAACCACATATACGGTTTGTTTGAATGGTAATGACCTTCCCCCCTACCACTCCACTTCTCTGATTCATGGCTCATGGGACACCCTGTATGATAAGGAGGTGGCCCATGTTTATCAAGGAACAGTTTCAAGTACAGCTAATGACATTATATGTGGAGTACCACAAGGGTCAATCTTAGGCCCTGTTTTATTTTTGATATATATCAACTCGATTGTTAACATCAAATTGAAAGGAAAAGTTTACATGTTCGCTGATGACACTACATTGATTTATTCCGCAGACTCAATCCAACAAATCAGAAATGCAATTGAAAGTGACTTGATTATTTTATCTTCATGGTTGTCCTATAATAAATTGAGTATAAATTACAGCAAATCAGCATTCATGTATATCTCTAAACGACGCCTCTCAAGTGAACTAAAATTTGATATCAAATTTAATAATGAAATCATCAAATATTCCACAGCCATCAAATTCCTTGGGATATTCCTTGATGAACATTTGTCATGGTCCAAACATATTGAATCGATCAGAAAGAAAATATCTTCAGTAATCGGAGTACTCTACAGGATCAGACACCAAATCACTTTGAAATACTTGAAATGTATATATTTTTCCTTGGTTTATTCAAAATTACAATACTTGATTTCAGTTTGGGGTACAGCTAGATTATCAATCATGAAGCCAATCAAAATCCTTCAAAACAAAGTTATTAAATGTATATACAAACTAGAATACTTGGAACCAACAAGAAATCTTTATAAACCTAGGCAATTGTTAGATATAAACTCCATTTAAAAATTCAAAATATTGAATTTCATCCATTCCGTCAAATATGATTATGAACATTCAAATCTGAATTTTGAAGTCAATAGTCATAAACACGAACACATAACCAGACAAAAAGATATGTTAACTCTCATCAAAATCAAATCAGATATGGGTAAAAGATCTATTTTATACAATGGAACAATTCTCTATAATGAATTACCTGCCAGACTAAAGAAAAAATTAAGTGTTGAAAAATTCAAAAAAGAACTGAAAAAATACTTATGTCTTTGATTCTCTTCATGTCATCCTGAATCAATTCAAGAAATTATATTTAACAGTCTCTAGAAGAAACAACATTATATGTATTATGTATATGATTTAAAAATGATTATCTGATTATCTAATTTTTGTTTTTTTTTTTTAGTTGCTCTTTCATAATTTTCCCTGCTATAAACATGTATGTTTCTTGGGAATAATAATAAAGATAAATCTTCTTGCATGTTATGTGGAATACCTTGTAGGTACATAATAGGGATTTCTTCTCATGTGATCAAAAAAAATCACATCCTTTCCATTCCTTTCAGGTGGTTCAAGCACTTCACCGATGCCACCGAATCGTACAACAAGCGGCAAGGCAAACCGCCCGCGGCCGCCTCCGACAAACCCGCCCCCGGTGCCGCCCCCACCTCCTCCTCCGACAGCGACGGCGAAGAGGTCGTCCACGACCTGCCTCCCGCCCAGGAGGTGGCCGAGCAGCGGGCGGCCGAGGTGGAGGGAGAGGGGCCGCCTCGAGACCCGCCCCCCGAAGAGGCGGGGACTGGGGACGAGGAAGCGGAGCAGGAGGAACGAAGGACTGTCGAGGACGACGGAGAGGAATCAGGTATGTAGGTCAGGTTAGGTTATAGCGCTTATTTACTGATGCGTTCATCTAGGTCAGTGGTTCTTAACCTTTTTTTGCCATGGACCACTGAATGTTTGGAGGTAAATATATTGAATGGCAATTAATGGATGATTGTTCTATCTATGCATAAAACATCTGTTCAAAGCCAACATTATTTTAAATTTTAGGCGAGAATTCAACATTGATGCGATTTTTGTGATACTTCTCGATACTTGGTTCAGTGCTACTCAAAGCCAAACGCATGTCGGCAGTAGGCAACTAACCGATTTCGGTGATTGTTTTGAAACGAATAGAAGCACCTAGATTCCCTGCTAGCATTGATATGAACAAAAGAAATTGCCTTTTGGCTCCAAAAATCTTCAAGATCGATTCCTGCTTCGAACGTATCTTTCAAGTTACTATCGTGTTGCATTTCAATTAACAGATTGCAGATCAGTTACCGATTACCTTTGTTCTCACAGTTAGGAAAATAGCGATCGAATTCACTTTTCAAGTTTACCAAATGGTGTGTGATGTTCTTTCGTATTTTTCCTCTGATCTCAGCACACTTTCTGTCAATAATTTGATTCAGCTTATCAAACGCAGAAAAGTTTTCTTTTTCGACACTCATGATCCATAGTTCGATTTTAGCGATAAATACAGCGATTTCATCTTCATATGCAAACATACTGTTCGTGTCTTCAACTTTGAAATTCATGACCCTTGCAGTTGAAGATTCAATTTATTTAGTTGTGCGAAAAATCTACCAATTAAGCTAGTATTTCAAATTGGAAACCGTCCACTTGTCACTCTAATGTCACTAATTCAATATTTTTCCGATTGCTTTGTGGACCCTTCTGGGTGCATCCAGGGCAGGGACCACCGGTTAAGAACCACTGGTCAGTGAAACCCTTGATTATTCCCACTAACAAATTGAACCATCATTATGAGAGCAATGAAGCCATACATTCTATTCAGTAGGTGATGGTATCTATTAGCGATACGGTGAACTAATTTTTGTTGAGTAACGAAGGGTAGAGACCGGTAATACCGAATATACATCGAAGTTTATTTTTAGATGTTTCAATGCATGAAGGAATGTCGCATCAGGGCCGGATTGAAATATATCCATTATTTAAAAGCCTTTAGAATATCAAAATTAGTGATTTTCCTGCTTCAGAAAGAAGGATATTTCTAGATAGTTCAGCAACTTGCAGATAGATGAACTCGAGCAGATTCAGAGAGTATAGACAAATCTACCATATTTTGTTCCGCTAGTACCGTCTACGAACTAGCCAAGAAATGAGACTAATAGCGGTTTCCATTAAACATGAACTGGTGGAGTATTTGTGCACTATCCTTCTTCTTACGTGTAGCAGAGAGAGATATGTATACACTGAGTGCTCACTAGTTTTACCAATGGAATCCGCTATAAATTTGGCTTCAAAATTTCACATTTTACATTGAGGTGGATCATCTTGTTAGTCTATATAATTAAGGGTGTGATGATAATATGTTTCTCAGGAACATAACCATGCACTTATTCCAATTTGAAACTGTCATCATGAATACCAGGTGTAAAAATACTTTCCTGTATTCCAGATACAAATCAGAACATCCTGTGGATTATACCATAAACAATACCAGCTGACTGTAGTCCCAGTTTCACTTCACATTTCCCCCTTTTTTTTTTTCTTTACTAACTTTCCTATACACATATAATTCCTTGATAATGTTGGAAATATTTAAATACAAAGTTGACATGAACTTAATATAGTTTTTACTGGTACACTCCACAGGATGTTTGAGATCTTTGAGAAGAAACACAATATAATTTCTACGATACTTATATCAATTTAATTTGAGATTCAAGTGGTGTTTGTATTGTATTTTATGCATGAGGGGTGAATACAATACCACATAAAAGATCTATTGTGCCACATTCTTTTGCTATATCCGATGAGGTTGTTCTCCGTAGCTATAGAAATTTCTCCTCTATCATGTTTGCTCCCAGTCTTCTTACAATGATGGAAGTAAAATATGGTGCGCGTATTCGGCCATTATTACGTATTGAAAATTTCAGAAAAATCACTCGACCGCCTACTATGATTTCTCTACGTCACAACGAGCGAGACGTTGATTCTACATTTTCCCTTTAGATGGTGATGCTACTATCGCTGCTGTGACTAGTGGAAATAAAATGGCAAATGGCATTTTAGGTACTCGGAACATATGTAACAGTGGGATTATTCAACTCTGAATTCGAAAAATCTGCCACAATTTCAAAACTGTCAGATGTCATAATTCTGCAATGTCGCCATCTATCAGAAGATCGACGGAACCATTCCTCTCGCTGTTCTCGAGAGGTCGAGTAAAATTTCTGAAACAAAAGCGCATCAGTAATTACACCATATCTTACTTCTATCATTCTTCTTACCATTGGGTTCTGTAGGATGACACATTCTGTAAGTATGTGGATACAGGTTTGTTCAGAAACACTTTGTTTATGTTGATTCGAATCTATTTTTTATTGTGCTTGAAAATATTATAAATGTATACACTCAAAAGTGTTTGCTGAATGGGATATAGAAAATACCATTTTATTATTATCAATAAGCATATTAATCCAGTGAATAGACACATAGAGGGGGTTCACCTTACAAACGTTCTTGTAGTTCTGAATTTTTGATATGTTATCTAGGATGGTTATTGAGTGTTCAAAATGCAAAATGCACAATTTCCCCCCCTCCGCGCGCTCCGCCATATTGAAAAAACCCAAAGAAATCGGCACTTCCTCCAGATTTTCGCGTATATCTTCGTTTTGGTGCATTTCAGCCACAAATGAGCTCCATTTGATGTTGTAGAGGATTAAATTTCCTATAATTCTCGTTTCGAATTTTGTTTCTAGGACTGATATTTACGGAGATATGATTTTTTTTTATAAAACGCATGTTCCGGAATTTTGTCAAGTACGTTCAGCGACACTATGGCACCAATGTGATGGTGATTCTTGATGGCTACACTACAGATCCTTCTCAGCAAGGGACCAAGATTGCTGAACGAGCAAGAAGGTACAAGGCAAACTCAACATCAAACGTGGTGTTTGACAAAACCACTGTCAACACCGTACCTCTCATTGGTAAAACTGCATTTAGCATGCAACATATCAAAAATTCAGAACTACCGGACCGTTTGTAAGGTGAACCTCTATTCACTGGATTATAATGTTGAATATCACGAAAGTCCACTGTGGAATTCTCAGTTGTAAAACGGAAATCTATAAAATGATCATTAACCCTGCTTATCAACTCCTGGAACTAATAACTGATCGAAACTAATATAGAAATACTCATAACCATTCAAAAATAATCAGGCATTCATCAAGTCATTAACTACTGTTCACCCGTCTCCATTGTGTTGATATATCACATCGGAAGAAAGATATTTTCAGTAGACGCAATCCATTTCTCAACGTAACGATGAAAATAATGGCGATGAAAATAATGGCGATGAAAATTTAAAAATAACTTGGTCAACAGCCCAGCTCTGTTCAGCATCACTGTGGATATTTGAAAGGAATAACAAACAATCCTGGACTCGATATTTATTTAAGTTTGCCAGTGTTATTGTTAACCAGAAAATACAATGTGTTTGAAAGGTGGATCAGTCGAAATCAAACCGTCGTTATTGTGATATATGTTCGTGAACAGAGTAGAGACATTGAGTGAGTACCCGAATTTTCGAGTACTGCAATGAAATTCATAGTTTATACACGGTGAGTCATAACTATTAGGATATATGCTAAGGGCGGAAAATATGGCAATAGGACCAAATATGCCTCAGTAAAATGTAGCTGTGGAAAAAGATACAGGGCGTTAAAGTTGATTTTTCCTTTCGCTTCTTGCTAATAATTTAATCGTTTATTTATTAATTATTATCAAAATCGACACAGAGGCATAATTTTATATGGGCATATTATTTTATGTAAATGATTCCTGATGACGAAACCGACTGGTAACTTTTTTCTACGAAACTTTAGTGATTTTGATGAGAAATTATGACATGAACACGATTTCTACATAATATTGGTACTCTTGTATGAACACGATATTTTCATTCGTTTTTGAGAAAAATTCAACAGTCTTGAGAGGGGATTTCAAGTATTATTTCATTTATGAAGAGTGTGCTTTGGACCGTCAGATATTTGTTGCTGGTAAACGACATTCCTTGTCAGTGAATAAATTTTGGTGTGATTTTATAGTTAATACTGTCTGGATTAAAACGCCCTGTATCTTTATCCACAGCAATATTTTATTAGGGCATAGTTCGTCCTGTCGCTATATTTTCGTCCCATCAATCCGCCCTTAGCCTATGTCCCAATAGTTATGACTCACCCTGTATAAGAATACTGAAATGTTATTTGCCAGCGGCCTAATAAGTTTCAATATCCACATATAGAATAATAATTATTGATTCATATACTTGTTTTCTATCTCAGACTCGTCACCTTTATTCAGAATTACGAAATTATTACCTACTGCAACAAATTGATGATGAATTTGTTTATCTACTTGCACCATATATTTTGCAATGGCATTAGTATATAAATTCCTCAAATTCGCCAGTCAAATGATCATTTTTAATCATACATGTAATGACAGTTTTTGAAGTACAATGGCAAACCAACAAACAGTAATAACCGATCTCACAGCTATTTATCTGTGTATGTTTTGTTTTCAGATGACATTATTTCTCACATTGTTTTTTCTTCTATCATATTTTTATGCTAGTTTTGATTACATCAGTAAATTTCTTCACTGAATGCTGTCCTGTATTGGGTTTATGAATTATATTTGTAGATATTCGAATTTTCATCGAGCAGTGTCTCATTAAAATCGAAAAATAATACATTCAGTTTTGGTATGAAACTTGAATATTTTCCAAGATAACAATTATACATGAATACATTGTATCAAATAACTGAATTAATTTGATTTGGTGTTTTGTTAATGTATCAATATCAATGCGTTCTTTATGCTAGTCTTTCAGTTTTTTAGACTCCCCTATTTGCCAAAGTGTAGTGTAAATCAATTATGGCTTTTCCCCATTTTCTCCAGGTTGGTAAAGCCAGTTAGGAAATACAATGGCAGTAATGTGGTTGGGGGATTAGAGTGAGTAGATTAAATAGAATGATGACAATAGACCTCCAGATGGTTGTCGTTTCCGGAATGTCATTCGTGGTCAAGACACTGGATAGCTAAAAACCTGAAGGGTATGCAGTAATGAATTTGCGCCTTCGAAGTGCCCACCTGATGTTGGGTATATATTCTTGATATTTTCATTTCATCCACTAAATAACGAGACCCAAAAGACAGATTCTATTAGTTGATATTCAAGGTACTGACGTATAGAGTCTGATTATTGGATGTTTTGATTGAGAAAGTTAAATAGAATGTGTAGAACTGAATGGAGGAAACAAGACAGGTAAATGCACCTCCATATTAAGGGTCTGACCAATCAAAAAGTGTACCACTATTGTCGTCACTCTCTTTATGAAGTCACTCTAGGGGGGGGGGGGGTAATTTGACATCTTGATATGAGAGTGCATGATAACTATATGAATAGAAATTGTGGTTGCGTATTCCGCGCTTATAGGTCGCGTGCACATTTGACAGATGACCGGGTCCCTGGAGCTAAAATAACCTCACATTTCTTATTATTTTATATATTGAAGTAGTTATTCACAATTATTTTGACATATGAATCGTGTTTCTTGGGATATTTATTTATTTAAGCATGCAGTCACATTGTGCTGTTGTAAAATAATGCACAAAATATGCAGCAAGAGACGAAGGAATAAGAATTTTGAGGTAGGTAAAGATTTGCTCTTGTAGTTCTCATTTTGAAATATTGTAATTTCTCTTTAGAATTTCTTCTGCAATAGGAGCCAGAATAGAAAGACTTGTGAAGTTTCTAAAATAAGGCAAGAAGCTTGGATTCGTGCAGTCAAACGGTAGGACTGGTCTAACATGCTGACGAAATATGGTAGTGTGTGTTAAATTTTCACTCTATTAGCTTCTATTGCAGAAGTGGCAGAATGCATTTTGAAGAGAAATGAGAAAAGTTTGAAATGATAACTATGTGAGTGACTATAATACACAATTTACCTGAAAAAAAAAGATTCCTTCGTCTCTCGCTGCCTTTTTTGTGCATTGTACTACATACAGCACAATGTGATGGTATGCTTGAATCAAAAATCACGATTCGCATGCCAAAATAATTGTGAAAAACTATTCTGTAACCAAATAAGAAAAGTGGGGTTATTTTTCCTCCAGGACCGGTTATCTGACACATGTGCACGCGAACTATTCCAGACATTCTCGAATAATAGAAAAGCACATTACAATATTACAACATTTTAATAACTTTTACATGCGATGCTATATATATAACTGGTGGTGTAACGGTGGTTCCGGTGGTTTATTTTTTAGAGATGGTCGCTGGTGGTGGTGTCGAGACGACTAGGGTGAGCGCTGAAGATTGGCCGCTCATCCAACCCTCGCAGGTCAGCATAGCTGTACCCCCGGTGCACACAGCCGAATCGATGCTCACGCCTCTAGGTACGCACCCTACTACTTTTACTACCATTAAACACAACGCGGTGCACTACTAAGCAGCTTGTCACATACTAACTACGAGATTAACGCTATTGAAAATGATCGTGAACAGTTGGCAGAGATTTTGAATTGACTCGGCCGTTACTTGATGGAAATCCATAGTAAATGTAAAAAACTTCACCAACGATAAGATTTCCACAAAATCACAGGACATGTTCTACTAACACAGTAGCTTTTTCAGGTGATAGACTGGTAAAATAAATCAAACATTCATTCAAGCAAATTATTTCCCATCAACCCTTTCAAGTTAATCCGGTACACCGAATTTTAATGTAGATAGTTATTGTGACTACTTTCCGGAAGTGAAGGCTTAGTGGACCTCTCCAGAGGTAATTTTAATCCTTTAGGTTGGGAAAGTAAGAAATACAAGGTAGACAAGTCATTGTAAGTTCAGTTCATTTGTACCAGTATTTCACCTGAAGAAGCTGTGTTAGCGAATCATGTCATGTGATTAACCATTTTTCTGGACATCTTATCGTTTGTGGAGATTTTTAGGTGGTAGAGATGATTGGTTTTGTTGTAGTAGAATATGATCGAGATGCGGACGTTATCGGTAGGCGAAAGAAACTTCTTCCAGCAAGATTGATGTACTGTGGTGGTTGCCTCATAAGTATACGAGACTGTGACGTCATCGTGTCAGCCAGTTGCATCTTGTGCCTGTTTTTCATTGTTTATCAGTCGTAATACTTTAATCGAACGAATTCAATTAATTTCTCTCAAGAGAATCATCTCAAAAAAATAAAGGAATGGACAGGCAGAGTGACGTGGGTACACGTAGAGAAGTCAAGGAGGCCACCTGTCCATTCATTAATCTTGACATCGCAGTGTTTTAGAAATCGTTGTGAGTTAAAGCCATCTTTCTCTATGAATGGCGAAGTTTCTTTCAGATGAATCAATGCTCAGATTTCATGAATGACATCATAGTATACAGAAATTTCCTTTTAAGTGACACATCAAAATAACATTAAATATAGTTAAATTCTAAACAGTTGAAGCTATAGTCGATCTTTGATATTTTATTGAAGGGCTTCAACGCGAGTTGAATCTATAAATCCGGGGTTATAGAGAGAGAGAAAAAAATTGAAGTTCTACTTTTCCTGAACAAATCTGCAGGAAATACGCGACGGTGACCCTAGCCCTCGAAGACAAAGAGGTGGTTACAGTGAAATTTGAAATAAAAAACAATAATTATCGTATCCTACTCATAGTATCTGATGAGTGATTTCATTCACTTGTTTGGGCGCCCTCGAAGACAAATAGGTGCTCACAGTTGAAATTTTAAGAAAATATTGATCGTAGCCTACTTTTCAAAATATATTGTATATATATTGTTTCCAAATACTCGTGAAATGGTCCTATATTTTATCGTGTTATGTCTCCCAAAAACCTTGCGTTCGTTCGCATTATTGAATCTATAAATCAGGGGTTATAGAGAGAGAGAAAAATTAAATGTCCCTCTTCTCCAGAACAAATCCGCAGGAAGGACGCCACGGTGACCAGAGCCCTCGAAGACAAAGAGGTGCTGGTGGCCGACCTGTTGAGCATCCCGCGCGAGCACTTCCGCCACATCGCCGACATGGCGTCGATGGACGAGTCGGCTAGCCGGGACCCTTCGGAGCGGGTGCTGGCGTCCATCTACCTGGTCGATCGGCTGCAGAAGGCTGTCAACGAGGCGACGAACGTCGGGGATCTCGATGTAAGAACACCTCATTACCGTAAAATGATATCCATAATCCGAACTAATCCAAGTCTGCGCCACGTTGTTCAGTCGTTTTGCGAGTTGTACGCTGTGTGTATGTGCACATTCAATGAAAAATGGCTTCTTAATACTAATAGACTAAAAGGCTGTAATTTTACGTCAGCTGGAGCCTGAATTCATTCCGGTGTTTGGATTATTGATATCATTCATTATGAATTCCATAATCTGGAAGTTTTGGTGAACCAAACTGATTCTGCAAACTTTTCTATCCATACATTTCTGTATCTCAACTTATTTTCCATGATGCATCAGCTTCTCGAGATCAAATACTGCTCGGCTCAAAGAGTTATCTTCTGGTACCTGGGTTCAGAATTGCTATTTATTGTCCCTTGTATACTTATTTTGCTAAATTATTCATAAGGTGCATTTTGTTGTGCCATTCCGGAAGTGATAGAATGACATCGGTGTGTTTTGGAAATCGTGAGTTCAAGCAATCTTTCTCTATGAATGAGGAAGTTTCTTTCAGATGAATCAAAGTTCATATGTTAGGTATCACAAGTTTTGCTAACAAAGTAGCTGAAGAGTATTTAGTTTATTCAATATTAATATTATGCACCCAGCAATAACGTCCAATATTTCGAATTTTGGAAGACGTACCAAAAATATTGCATTCGGTCTCGTTATTGAATTTATAAATCAGGGGTTATAAAGAAGAAATTTTAAAGCTTGCGTTCGGTCACGTTATCCCTACTTCCTGTATCTCAAGAGTAACTTACTTTCCATGATGCATCAGCTTCTCGAGATCAAATACTGCTCGGCTCAAAGAGTTATCTTCTGGTACCTTTTCAGTGCTGTTTATTGTCCCTTGTATACTCATTTTGCTAAATTATTCATAAGTTGCGTTTTGTTGTGTCATTCCGGAAGTGATAGAATGAGTGAGCCCAAGAAAACGGATCGGTGCTAGACAATGCGTACATATGAAACTGTAGAAACATTTGACATTTTCAACCTCAAAATCTGACCTATTATATTATATTTGTCCTCGTATTTGTCTCTGGTATGTAACAATAAACATTACCATCTTTCTGCTTCTACTCCCATGAATCAAAAATTGATAAAGACTAATTTGATTTCCATGATTCTCAACCAACGTTTGAGAATAATGATTGAATTTTCGGAAGACATCAATGCCTTGGATGGAGGAATTCCCGTTTTTTTGTGGTTCTCTTCAATTTCTATTCATTATTATTTGCTTGTCACAATATTAATCACAAGTCACTTACTTTATTCGTCATTCCAATTTTTAACCCTCCCCATGAGAAGGAATGCGAATGGGAATGGTAATGGGTTTGAATGCACAACAAAACGTGTACAATAACAAGAACCAGATTGAGTTATGGCACAACAAAACGTACCTATAGTGCATGTATAAATTTTACTTGTCATCTGATAACAAAATGACATAATATGTCCCGAAAAAATGTAAATATTTTGTATTTTATCGAACGAAACTCGTGAAAATTTGCGCGAATTACCACGCAGGAATGTGCTAGTTTTCAATCATTTTGATCAGTATAGTGATTGACCCAAGTGCCGTTCAATGATATACAATGTTTTCACATGCCTTTGGCGCATATCAGGAACATTTGGAACGTTGTCAGATGACAATTTGCAGCGGGCTCTCGAAGTAATAGTTCCATTAGAAACTTTATGATATTGATTTTTTTTTGTATCCAGGTGATGGCTGCCAAAGGAGGAAGGCACGCGGTATGCACTGGCCAGCAAGACCAGCCGTCTGAGCACGTGGAGCCACCCTTGACTGTGCCAGCCAGTCTGGTCAGGGACATAGCCGGCTCTCTTAGTTTGCAGCTTACAACACTATTGGTGAGTACAAATATAAACATCTGAAATAGTTTCATCACAGAAGATTGCATTAAGGATTAATCAATCGCTAGTTGAGTCAAATGAGGTTCAACCTTAGTTAAACTTTTAAAGATTAATTCATGAGAGTTTGACTCACAGCTAATTTCTGTCACTGCAACGTATCCCATGATTAGTATCAATTGTATAATGATATTGTTGAAGAATTAGATTTTTGGCGTAATGATCTTTAGACCATGAGAGAAGGCCATGTACCGTGAGAAAAAGAAATGATCCTTATAATGATTTTCATGATGGAGCTTCCTTGAGAAGTTTTCGTTATTCAAAACCCCGATCCTCGAGCAAAGAGAAGGAGAAATTGAAACTCCAACAGATAGGTTTGTAGGAAACAGAGATTAAAGGATGAAATTGTTGAATTCAATACTAATATTTAGAGTATAAACAATGTTTGGTTTGTATGTTTCCACAGGAATCATAATAAATAAATCAATTTTTTCTGTGACGGGAAAAAAGTTTGGCATTTCATCTCTGTTGGCAGGTTATAAAATGTCACTTTTCATAAATTACTTTTTTCCCGTGGGAAAAAAGTAAGTACTTTTTTCCCGGATATATATCACATATATATACTCTGTTAATGGCTTTTGTTGTGCTATAGTTCCGAAAAATGAGTCAATAATACCGTCTCCGAGAAAGAACTGCAAGTCCTTTTATCTTCCATTCGACTTCGCGGTTTCGTATATTACTATAAACAACTACTGAATTCGCAATTTTTCAAAATCAAATCACAGAATTGAACTGACAGAAAGTGACATCAGATATTTGATTACTTCAAAAGAATGATGAAGATGTCTATAAAACGCAGGTGTCCCTACTGTTAAAAACTTGAAATTTCACGTCGATAATTTTCATATTTCGAAATAATGTAATATCTTCTCAATATTGATTCGTCCTTCCTTCTGTCACAGAAAAAAATAGTGTATTATACACGGGAAAAATATTAGATTTTAGCTCACGGTTTTTTGTCTCCCTCCGCTACGCGTCGGGAGACAACACAACCTGGAGCTAAAATCTACTACTTTTTTCCCTTGTATAATAAATAACTATTGATGCTGTTTTTCAATGCAGAGTTTCTTAAGTTCCCTACAGAAATTGATAGCTATCCTATTTTGTCTTCCAAGGTTGCTTCCTTTTGTCTCCAACTAACTGCATTAGTTCTTCTCGGGGTTTTCTCGATAAGATTGTTCAGAACTGTTATGTAGTACTCTTATCAATAAACTGCATTCACTTTCTCCAAAGTCTGCAACTATTTTCATATTTCTGTGGTTTATATCCATCTGGTGATTTTTTTCGACAATATACAGTCAGTTTTTTTGTTGCAGGACTTCAACAGCTGAGAGAAGACATTTTTTTAAAGATGAAAATTCTGTATAAACATTCAAATGCGTGGGAGTTTCGTTTCTGATATACAGGGTTTCAAAGTTGAAGATTTTTTTGTGTTTCCAATTTCCTCCTACAATTTCCAAAATAAGGAATAGAAATTTGTTACACCTTGGAAACGCAATATTTGGGGCTATCCGTGCGTTCTTAGACTTTTGGGGTCGTGCAAGCTTTCAAAACCTATGTATCGGTAAGGTTTTCTTCTTGAAAAAATCTCTCAAAGTCCTGCTACAAAATAATGACTCACCTTGCCGAAACAAGTAAACCACCGCAATAGTCGGTGGAGTTGACACCGATACTAGGGATTAGCTCTGAGAGGATTCTTTCACTAATCAAATCAGGTCTTTTGGAAATCACCTTTCCCAACATTCTCATAGCTCAGAGTTACCCAGATAGAAGATTGATATGCAGTGGATAAACAGGAAGTGTCTTAACAGTGACTTTGACTTTAAGTCAGTGTTAGCCGTCAGTCAGCTAGCATGCAGTTTTAGCTCATGATTCATTCCCTACTTACCTAACCAATCTGTTGGAAATTGAATTTCTCTTTCTCTCTCCAACACTGTGTTTTGAATAACGAAAACTTCTCAGAATCATGATAAGGATCATTTCTTTAGCTCACACTACATTTCTCTCATTATCCATGATCTCTACATCTTTCTCATTACTCCGAAAATCTTCAATAATATAATTATAATAATGTATACTTATGATGAAATAGTGAAAATAGTGTCAGAAATCAGCTGTTAAACTCTCAACTTTCAGTTTCATCTCATAGCAGATAAGTACTTCAGAGGAGAATGATAAACATTCAACTAGAAGTTGAGCCTTAGGACATGAGTTTTATATATTTCTTCACTTTGTCAATGAGAATTTCATTCTTCCGACAATAAAGTATAATTTGATCTGATCTGATCTGAGTCAATTTGATTTAACCAGCGATTGATAAACCGACCCTGAGGGTACGCCGAAGACACATTGATGTGCGCGGTCGCGGTAGCTACATCGATGTGGAAACAAACACATTCGTCCTTATGACACCACACATACCAAAGATGTTTCACCCGCTCACCCTCGCTGATCATTGCGGTTTACATCGATGTCGATGCCAGAACGAAATAGTTTGTTTTGCATCGCGATCGAGCTTTTCATCGCGTGGTAAATTGTCACGTTTATTGGTGTTTTTCAAACCATGCGACAATCGCTTGCGATACAGATGGTATTTATTTATTCATTTTTTGTTATAAACAGGTTGCCATACGTTGGGTTGTTTGTTTTATTAATGTTCGGTGATTTTATACACAAATATCAAGGATGAGCTGATAGATTTGGTGATTTGCCTTTATGGAATAACCCCTGTAAACAACTCATAATAGGCATATAGGTCGCGTGCACGATGACCTACCCTGGAGGCAAAATATTGAAACACAACCTCATTCTTCTGTGAATTATTGAAACACAACCTCACTTTTTTCTTGGTTACAGAGGAATCAAAGGATTGAAATAGTTTTTCACAATATTTTGGCATACGAATCGTGTTTTTTGCGCTATTCATTAATTCGAGCATGCCTTCGCATTGTGCTGTTGTACAATGCACAAAAAATGCAGCAAGAGACTAAAGAATATGGTTTTTCAGGTAAATAGTAATCTCACATAGTTATCATTATGAAATGTTGTCATTCCTTATTAAAATTCCTTCTGCCTTCTGTCACTTCTGCAATACAAGCTAATACTGCTAATAGATTGAAAATGTCTACAACACACACGATCGTCAGCATGTCAGACCAGTCCTCCCGATTGATTGCATGAATCCAATTTTCTGGCATTATTTTAGAAATTTCAGATGTATTTCTATTAGCTTCTATCGCAGAAAGAATTCCGATGAGAAATCAGAGAAATTACCAAATTTCAAAAATGAAAACTATATGTGAGTGACTATAGTAGGTACTTACTTTTAAATCATATTGTACCAACCGGATTACTTCGTCTTCCGCTGCAGTTTTTGTGCATTTCACAACAGCATAATGTGATGGCATGAGCGAATTGATGAATAGCGGAAAAATACGATTCGTATGCCAAAATAATTGTGAAAAACTATTTCAATCACTTGTAAACAAATAAGTAAAGTGACGTTTGTGTTTCAATATTTTGCCTCCAGTGTCGGTCATCTGACAGTTCTTGCACGCAACCCATTCTGGCCATGGAGCTCTTCAAATAGATTTTTAAAATATGTGATGGTATACTCGTGGATACTCCTTTTTTGGTTTATAGGATGAGCCGAAAACTGTCGATTGGAAGAATTACAAATCACCTATCACTTGAAGACTCCCAATCACTGTCGTCACTATTGGTGCTTTTATATACAGTGTGTCCCGCTTTTCATGAAAACACCCTGATATCTCAGTTATTAATTTTTGATTTGCAGCTTCTTCTTGGGGTTTGGATTCGAATCCAAACCCCAAGAAGAAACTGCAAATGGAAAACATACCATCACTACAAAAATTTCAAGAGAATCGCACTATTAATAGCTGAGATATCAGGGTGTATTCATGAAAAGACGGACACACTCATAGTTAAATGATTCAAAGAAACAAATTTCCCTATAATATCTGTCATTCACCTCAGAAACCGCTAAGAACACAGAAAGAAAGTCATCTTTGGTATGTTCAAACCTCGACAGCGATCTCCACCGTTCATTTCCATGTATCTTCGGCATGTCCGTACCTTAACTGGATCAATAATAAGACATGTCCCATTGGCGAATGTGAATGAGAAACATCCGATCCGAATTTCCTAATGATCATTTTCACATATCTTTGTGTTTTTTAAGAGCGAAGCTAAACGAGTCGAAGAAGAGAGAGACAGGCTGAGGAAGGAGCTGCACAAGATGAGGGAGGCGTTGCACGTCGAACATAACCTGCACAGTCCCGTGCCGGCCGACGACCTCAATTTGACGTCATCCACGGATGTCTCGGATCAAAACGCCACCTTGAGTGATAGTATACAGGTGAGACACGATAATCGGATGTTCTGAATCTCTTATTGTTTGCTCTACTGCAATGGAAAAGCTAGTTTTTTATAGACCAAGGTTATTTCCCAGGGACCAAGATTTGGTAATGATATTCTTTACTACTAGCAATGCATTTCAATTATTATAGTGTAAAACTGATATAAATTATCACTAGAAAGCAATTCTTTTCAATTCTAATCAGAATATAGTAGCTATGAGATCATAACAGCATATGAAAAATCGTTTCTCTACGACTATCGTATTCTACATTGATTACATATAGGTTAGTAATTGATGAATGAAGATGATTCCAAGACACCGTGGATCCCAACTCATTATTCAACGGCACTCGACCAATCACAGATTCAGAATTTTCAGGATCCACAGCAACTGAAAAGGTTACACTAATGAAAAACCAGCAAATTTACAAAACAAATTTCTCGAGAAGGCTCTGCTTCATTTTACGGGTCACGTCACGGCTTGACTTTCGCGAATGTCAGATTGACTTATAGAGTCTTTCAAGTTTGAACTTTGATATCTGGAGGATATAATGAAGGCTTGCCGTTTCGTAGAAATGTACTCTATGAATATTGAAGATTTTCAAGATCTTGGATCTCCATGGATGATAACTATTCCTGAGACCAAAACAAAAATTGTAAGGAGGTTCACTATAATCGGGAAATTTTATCAATTTTGTAAAAAGTACATTGATATGCGAGCAGCAAATGTTGGGATTTCCATTTTTTTCATGAATTACCAAAAAGGAAAATGTACTCTTTAGAAAATTGGAATTAATAAGTTTGCAGCAATGGGAAAACAAATAGTTACATTCTTGAAGCTAGCAAATCCCGAGATGTACACCAGGCATTGCTTTGCTTGTCAATGCAGGTGGAGGTATAACAGCATTGAAAAGACATGGTGGCTGGAAGAGCACATCGGTGGCAGAAGGATTTCTAGAAGATTCCATGTTGAATAAAAAAAAAACGGCAGATTCGAATTCTTCAATGAATGGAACAATGTTCATCATCATCAAATAACAGTTCCTTCACACAAAAAACATCAACTAGCAATATGAATAAAAATGTCAGTGTTGATTTAAATGCAACACCATCAACAGTAAAATTTTACGAATTGTGAGAATATCACTAAAAATTTAGTCACTAAGTACGAGAAACATAATTTACTGACCTAATAATTATTGTGTTGTTTCATCATTGAATTAGTTGAATATTAAAGATTCCTGTCAATTGTAATATCATATCATTAAAATTCATACATCAAGTATATTATTTTCATAAATAATAATTAGATTACATTAAATTTCTGACTATCGTATAGTCGTAGAGAAAGTATAGTCTTCTACTCGCGTATAATAGCTATTATTCTCTCGGATAATTCCGAAACTCGCCTACGGCTCGTTTCGGAATCATATCCTCGGGAATAATAGCTATCATTATACGCTCGTTGAAGAATATACTATATTGAAACTACCTCGCATGAGAACAGTGCATTCGGGTTGATTATAACAGAGTAGTTCATAAAATGACAATAACTATCTTGGTAAGAAAAACACTCTTTACGCCTTGAAAAAGAATAAATAATGGTAGATTCTAAAGCTGTTGGTGGAAAATATCTATTTGAGTTTCCATATTTAATGTGTTCCTATGATTACATACAAGGAATTTCAATGTGTAAGCCGAATATAGAGAAGTTAAGCTAACTTTGAAGGAGAGGAAATATGTCTCCCCCATCTGTCTTTGTCTTCAATGCTCTAATGAAAAAATAGTGAAAAATGTATGTTGGCAACACTGGAAATAAGAAGAAATGGAGAAGAAGCCCATATTCAACCTGAATATGAAAAAGGTTAGATTGGTCTTCTTTTGTTTTAATTGTCGGCCGTTACTTGATCTTTTGGACTTGGACGTCTCCATTTCTTCTCATTTCTGGGGTTGCCAACATACATTTTTTCTTATTTTACGTTGAAACTCTGAAAACAAGGACAGAATGGGAAGACATATTTTTTTCAATCCTATCTGAATTCTCTCTCATCTTTACCTTGCAACTTTCATGTAGTCGATTTTCAGAGGAATGGTTATGAGTTCTACATTATCTTTGAAAATATGTTCTTTCAATGATGAACAAATTTGGGGAAATGACTCAAGAGTTGGCAATCCTGTGGAATTAGTTTTGTATTTGTACACCAGATGTCATAATTTCTTTACTGATTAATATTTCTTTCAGATTGTTACAAAGAGTGATTGTGAAGAGGATCACTGATGGAATTGATTGCCTTGGAAGTTATGATTTGTATAGAATGTTTATAGGTGATTAAAAAATGTAAATTTTTCAAAAATAGGGATATGTAATGATGATATAGTATTTATACATTATTTTTTTAACGAACAAAGGAAAATGTGATTTTATACCCACATACAGTTTCCTTCTTTGTTCTTGGATTTCGAACGGGGACAAGTACAGGGTGGAACTCGAATAAGATGCAATATTACAGGGTAGCAGTTCTCAGTCAATTGCAGTTCAAAATTAACTTCTTGTACTGAAATAGACTGAGGATCTCCACCTAGGAATATTCTGACGTATTCTAGTTACTCTGTTTGTACAGGGTGCACCTCTCAAAGTGAAACCTCTGTCCTTGAGTTACGCGTTTTCTGAGATTACAAAACATGTGGAATGATGAAGTAGGTTGAAACCACTCAAGTATTTATTTTATAATGCTTTTTGATATTCACCATCAGTCATCAACTTTGTTTCATCTCTTCATCGGAAAACCATATTTATTGTTTCATTTAATTCTTTGGTCAAAATGCTTTTTCATGGATCACTGAAGGTCGATTGCAACATCATCTAAACTTTAATGAATTTGAGATTCAAATGAATTTTGAATTGAGAATATATTGGGTGTTCATGCAGCATCAATTTATATCCTTCCATCAGCTCTTTTAATCTTCCAGTGCGTCTAGTTTCTTAGTTGAATGTAGGCCATCTTTCTTAGTTTTAATTTTTCAGTTCCTTGCTTGAACACCTACATACATTTCATGGTTTTATATCATTGGTTTTAGTTAAACATTCATTCAAGTTTCAAATTTTGCTCCCATGAATTCACCTTGAGTAATCAAGAATTACTATTTTTTACTATCAATCCATTAGGAGGTATTTTTCTCCAGAGTCTAGACCTATCGCAATATTTGTATGGTGTTTCATTCAATAAATCAAATCATGTATTCCAGAGGAAATGGAATATTCTGTACACCAAATCAACGCGAACAAAAATATTGAATCATTTTAACAGGCTCGTATGATGCCTTCAGCGTGGTTTCATTTTGAGAGGCTGACCCTGTATGTCCTGTTCAAAGTCAGTGCAATAGTGCTTTAGTAGTTGTTCATTATTGTTAAGTCGCTAGAGGCTTCCATAGCGAGGGACGTCACTTTGTATTTATGTGTAAATAATGTAGTATAGGAATATTATTTTTGTTATATTATTACTTATCGCCGTCATATTCTTATTTATAACCGTCTCCTATTACCTGATAATAGTATTCTATTTATTTGTTGAATTTTCGTGTTTTTAAAAGAAGAAAAAGAATTTGAGAGGTGTATTTTAAATGTGGGTGTGATATCAACGATTTCCTGATGACCGGAAGTAAAGGCCGATGAAGCGGTGCCTACCGGTGTTATTGTTTTTAAATGCAAGTGCCTTAAGCACCCATCGTTGTTCATACTGCTTTTGTATAACGCTTTACAAATGTGCATTTTTTTGGATACCGGGGGACAACGCATCCTTCAGATTAGCCATTTGATTTGAATATAATCCCCACATATGAAAGATTTTTGTATCGTTTTTTTAATGTATGCAATTTTCGAGCAACGATTTTTTGCTAAAGTTGATTTTGTTCCCATAGCTGTCTGTCTCTGTTCTTGGCATGATGTAAATAGAGAAAGTCAGTGAAAAATCAAGTATAGCAGTAGAGCAAACACTAACAGGCCTATCAATTTGTGCTTACATCATGATACAAGTAACACCAAAAATATGCCTACGAGAATACATACGTTGAATAATTGTTCCACAATAGCCCCCTCTTTATCACATGTTTCACCATAATTGCCCCCCCCCCTCTAGCTCAGTAATTTTTTAAACGATTGCAAAATTTTAAATATCATCTAAAATGATTTTCCATAGAGTTTTTTTCCTATAGCATACTATTTGATTTTTTTAAATGTAACACCCTATTTTCCATTGTATTTTCAGATTCTCCCTGACGAGCTGATTTCATCAATGCATCACACTTGGGGTCTAGCGAAAATGATTACAAATATACAGGGTGTTCAAAATCGAGATTTTTCAATTGATTAAAGCCGTTTTGACCAATAATGAATAGTTTCGACACAAAAAATCCTCAAGTTGAAAAATCTCGATTTTTAACACCCTATATCTCTGTAATCATTCTCGCTAGACCCCAAGTGTGATATATTGATGGAATCGGCTCTTCTGGGAAAATTTAAAAATACAATGAAATACAGGGTGTTCCATTTGAAAAAATCGAGTAGTACTCTGTAGATCATTTGTTCCGAGCACCCTGTATTTTCTGATGCAACGGGAAAAAAATTCTGAAAAATCTTCAAGATGATTTTTAAAATTTTTGAATCGGTTCAAAAATAAGTGAACTTGAGGGGAGGACATTTATGGTGAATCTACCTGTACAGTTGATATTTCGGGAATACCGACACCAAGCAAATTCTGTCCGCGGTATACTTCTTCTCAAATTTCAACAAAAACCAATTTGCAGGCACTTACTAATCCATCCAAATCATCAATTTTCAATGCAAATTCTAATTTGATGGTGAAGCCGCTGCATGCGAGTACAAATTGATAATTGTTTAGGACATGTTGAAAACCCATGGAAATCAGTATTAGAAAGTTGCATACTAAAAAAACGTTGCCAAAAATCAAGTCATTATCGACTAATCTACTACTTCCGGTTTGTGTAAAACATAACTGAGCCGGAAATTTCAATTGAAACACCCTGTGTATCTTTACATTCTTGGATTCAGGCATCTATCAATTATGTACGTGGGTGGATGAGGGTGTTACTTACTGTAAGTGTTATGCGGTAGCGGGGTTACTTGCTAAGGAAATTTGTGAAAGATAAGGAAATTTATTGAATATAATTATGACTTTTTGTCCTGAATGCTACTTTGTGCAAGTTGGATCTTCACCTTATTAGTTGATTTAAGGAGGGGGGGGGGACTTGAAACTTTGATGATATGTAACAAAAGAGATTGGGAGGGGTAGAATGGCGAAAAATCGTGATTTAAAATGAATGTTTGATCCTTTTGGAGTTAAGCTCCCTTGGTTTTTCAGTCATTTTTATTTCGGTATCTGAAATGAATAATTGAACATACTGCATTTGATCTGATGAGCATAAATGTTGAGAAAAAATTATCACATGTCCTATGTATTGTTTTTACTTATCATTTAGGCCCATTAAATCAGTTTAAGTACCATTCATTCCACTTGAGATGCACGAATAAGAATACTTCTGACAAATTAGTTTTTTTCAAGACTTTCTTTCTTAAAATGATCTTCAATTGAAATATACAGGGTGTTCCGGTTGACTTTGGTCATCTCAGCTGTAACCGGAAGTAGGGGAAAAGGAGGTAAGAAATATTGGAAAGGGTTGAAACTAGAAATTGTGGTTTGTCTGAAGTAAACGTTGTCACCCGGTATGTTCAAAAACACTTAGGCATTTAATATACATAGATGTAAATTATTTTACTTACTTTTTTAAATGTCTTTCAGGCGAATTATAGATAATGAATGACACAGCATACAATTTGTTATATGTATTTATACAGTCCAAAAAATAACAGTACTATTATGAAATATAATACTTAAAACCAATAATAGTGTCCTGTTCATTTCAAGTAGGATTGTCTTGACTTTTGACGAATTTGTCGTCACTACCAGGGTAGTGACAAATCTACTTTTCTTATATGCTCATTTATAATTTTCCTGTTGTTCAATTCAACACTAAATAGAGGTGAACAAAGAGATAAAGTACACAGGGTGAATCATTAACAATACAAGGTGGGTGAATTTCCAATTTTGTTGGTAACTCTGTAGCTATGGCAGTTACAAAAAAATGATAGTGCTTTTCTAGATTTTTCTTCTGTCAGCTGTCAGTGAGTCTGATTCAGAAAAAGAGATCGAGAAAGTTCCTTTCATTTTTTGTTGATCTATAGTTACTGAGTTATCCTATAGAATCACAGAAAATTTCCCATCCTGTAGTGTAAAAGCTGATCCTTTCTGCATATAAAAGTGAAATTAAGGAAAATATCAAATGACCATGGAAAAGTATCCTCTTCGTCAATAGAGATGGTTTTATTGATTTTGGTAAGAATTTCTCTTGGCCAAAATCCATAAATGGTCAGGAGGAAGATAAGATTATCTCTAATGGAAACAGCAAGTACAATTCCTCATGACAAACCCTGAATAATTTTCCTCTCTGTTCCACTCACAGCGATTAATATGATGAACGAAGAGTGAATTGAATGAATGAATGAGAATCGTCCATACTATACTCCATATTGACATCAGGGCACCGTGGTGCTAACCTAACCACAAAATGAGTTTATTGGACTTGTGGAAGGAGGTCTCCAAGGATAAGTGCTTGATGCACCTGATAATTCACCAAATGCAATCTATTCCAGATTCTTTGAGGAGATAACCGAGGGAACAATAATTATCGTCCGTAAAACTTGGAATTTTCAAATGTGAAAACTCCACAAACGATGAGATTTCCACAAACACACGACATGATTCGCTAACACAAAAGCTTCGTCAGGTGATATACTTGTACAATGAACTAAACTAACGTTGGCATGCTTAACTTTTATTTATCTTACTTTTCCAACCTGAAGGATCAGTTACCTGTGGACAGGTACGATAAACCTCCATTTTCGGAAATTAGGCACATTATCTACATTAAATTATGGTATACCGGATTAACTTGAGAGAGTTGATATCAAATACATATTATTACTTACTACTTACTGCTTTCTTAGTAAGTAATAATATGTATTAGCTATCAACTCTTTCAAGTTAATCCGGTATACCGTATTTTAATGTAGATATTGTGCCTGATTTCCGAAAATGGAGGTTTATCGTACCTGTCCACAGTTAACTAATCCTTCAGGTTGGGAAAGTAAGATATATAAAAGTTAAGCAAGCCAACGTTAGTTTAGTTCATTGTACCAGTATATCACCTGACGAAGTTACTCTGTTAGCGAAACATGTCGTGTGTTTGAGAATTTTGTGTAAATTTCATCGTTTGTGAAGTTTTTACATTTATCATGGATTTCCATCAAGTAACGGCCGAGTCAATAAAAAAAAAGTTCATTTTTGATGAGAAATTTTCCGTTATAAAAACATATTCGTGAAATGATTTAATGTTTCGTAAAACCTATCGCCGCTTCAATCAACAAATCATACCAACTTGGAAAAAAAAGTTCAAAAACTCACCGCTTATTCCGATGTGAATTTCAATTGTCAAGTCTCCTTTTATTCAGGCTTTTCCGTAGAAACAATAATATAATTTCAATTGTCAAGTTTCCTTATTCAGACTTCCGTAGAAACAATAATATAAACTCTGATCACCTCCTTTCTAGAATACAACTCGTGATTTTCTATCGCCTGAATATCTCACTAAAACTGAAAAAAAAAACAAGGAAAGATATAGTCCTAGGTGTACGTTTATTAAACACAAATCGGGGAAGGCAACATCATCCAAATAACATTGAACATCTTCAGCTAGGTATACATTATCTAGATACTTTTGATCAAGACATAACATCAGTATCAACCGAAAAACAGAGATCAAAACCGTTATTGACATTGTTTTCAGTCGATTATTTTGTTAATCACTTTCAAGATAGGGCTCGATTTTTTGAAAGTTATTAACAATTTACTTGAGGAAAAATGAGTGCTAATAAATAATTTGATAAGTATGTACAAGATCGTAAATTAATCATTATTAATTTTTCAACACATAGGGTATTCTTTTCTTACTATTTATGTACAAAAGGTTGACTGCGATAGGTAATCAGGGTGTCCCATTAGGAGTGGACATTCGTAAAATTTCCCAATTTTTGTTTATTTTTTATAACTAACCAAAATGTAGTTTTCAAACCTGGGCAATCATATTCTCAAGCTGTATAAGTGTATAATCCACTAAGGCGTCGAAGAGAACGAAAATCCAGGATCTGCTTGACAAAAAATTCTAATAACTGGAATCAGTCATAAAAGGTACCTACTTTCTTTTTTTCGCTGACAATTTAACTAATGTAATATGCCGAATCAAGTGACAGCTAGGTATCATTTCGATTTTTTCAAATAGATCATGAGGTACCTATATATTATGTACCTCATTTGGATTGGAGCTCAAAATTTATTCAACCTAGTAAAAAAATGATGGGGGTAGCTGATACTCAGAAAGGGTTGAAAAAGCTGATTGCATTTTATGAAGTGTTGAATTATAGCTTATTATATATCAAGGGAGCAAAGGACAATTGACGTTATCTAAACGGAAGTCATATCAGTTTGACAGTTTTGTCATAATGAATTAATGCATGTGTATATTGTGAATCTGCAATTTAAATTTTGAAAGTACGTTTGGATTATGAGGAAATGTTTGAGTTGATTGAAATTCAAAGAGGAAATTGATATTTGTTTTATAATAGTGATGGTTACTTGTATTGCACGAATCTTATTGGTATATTGACGCCAAGAAAGCAGGCTGAAAAGCAAATACTTCATTTTACCTTCCACGGAATTGAATATTTGTTTTCGTTGACGCCTCAGTTGATTGGACATTTTTTCAATATCACGTACCGGTAGAGGATAAAATGTCCCATTTATATAGAGTGTATCACTCGAAACTCTGCAGGCTAATAGAAACCTAATAGAAATATTTAATTTTTGTAAAAAGTATTCAAAGGATGAGGTCAAAAGTAGATTTTAATCGAACTTTGAAAAAATATTCCACGCCTACTAAGAGCTGAGCGTCGCGATTCGTCGAAAATTTAAATCGATTGCATTGACTTTATTGATATTACGCGCACTCAACAATATATGTTAATTATAAACTGTTTCATCATTTACTGGAACTTATTTATTTAAATCATTTTGGAGTTATTATGGTTTATAGTAAACGTTATTCGCGATTATTGGATGATTTTCACAAGAATGTCATTTATTTTACTTATTTCTGGTAAAACTAATAATAATCAAAATGATTATTGCTTTCAACTACTTACATACTTCATGATGAAATAAATTGTTTTTTTTTCAATTTTATGTCCATCTGCTCGAATACAACTATCAAAAACTGTCAGCAGATGAACATCTTAGTCACTTGTAGAAACGTCCCTCTGTGATAGCGACAACACGCTGCACCAATCTTCGATTGGTTCTTCATAGACAACGTTCTTTAGGTGACCCCAAAGAAAATAATCTGGTGATGTAATGTCCGGGGACCTTGCCGGCCACTTTGTTAGTCCATTAGTACCAAACCATCCTTTGGAGTATTCTCTGTCTAAATACTTCGTTATAATTTCGACATTATGAGCGGGCACTCCTTCCTGCTGTAGCCTCATAATCATTCTAATGCTCAAAGGGAACTTCTTCTAATAGTTCCGGAAGTGTAGTTTGAATAAATCTTAGATAGCGACCAGCATTCGAAGTGCCTTCGTAAAAGTGAGGCCCAATAAAGAATCCGTTTATCGCATGGCGCACCAAAATTTGATGCCGAAAATTCGCTGATAACCTGTTTTTGTAATCCAACGAGGTTGGTTTTCGGACCAAAAACGACAGTAGTGTCTGTTCACGAATCCATTATTATATGGAATCGACTTTCGTCGCTCCATTGAATTTTCAAGAAAATTTTCTTACTAAAAACAAAGTGAAAATCTTGCTAAGAAATCCATTTTTCTAGCAGGATCACTTGCGGTTCTAATGTATGCATGTACTATTTTAGTTTTGCACTTAAACAATTGCGATAACAATGGTTGCCAATATTCATGACATTCTTGTAAGAATCTTACTCAATCGCATCATATTTTGTCAATCAAGAAACATTTACTATGAACCGGTATAACTCAGAAATGAGTGAAATTAATTGATTTGAGTAAATAACAAACAAAATCATGGAGAAATATGTACTGTTTTGTGCGCGTGATTTCAAAGTAAATGCAATCGATATATACTTTCGACGCGACGCTCAGCTCTTAGTAGGCGTATTTTTTTTAACTCTGAAAAAAATCTACTTGACCCCATCCATTGACTACATTGTACAGAAATCAAATATTTCTATTCGTTTTCGAGATAATGGCGTGCGGAGTTTTAAGTGACAAACCCTGTATAATATTTACAAAAAGCGATATAGACCATGAAATATGGGTTCATTTGGAACTCCTAACGAAACACCCTGTACAAATAAATGAAATTATACCTACAGTATACAAAATAACATTCAAGTCCTTTTTTTAAGCGTCATATTTATTCATTTGAGTTTCCGTTGCTGATTCATAAAACCGTTTCGTTGGTACAAGTTCTAGGCCCATTCACTATGGAGTATCTGGATGAACCGTTTCTAGCGTTAGTCCCAGCTTTGATAAAGAGATCTTTGAAGGTTTCCCTGAACTGTCTGGACATACCGCAGTAAATGGCGAAGTTAATAGGATAACTCAAAATGATGAAAAAATTGGTGAAGAGGATCAACAAGTTCGCCACGTCGTAATTGAGGAACTCGAAGCAAGTGCTGGAGATTATATGTAAACTAGTGACGACCACAAGCGGTATTTCTACTATGAGAAACACCGTGACGACTACAATGAGCATGAGCGTCGTGCAATTCGAGTCTCTCAGCTTCTTGCATTCTGTCTTTTGGCTCTTTTTGGAAGATAGGAGAATATCCCGACGTTTCTGGGCTTGTTTCAGGGCTCGGAACAAGAGCAGGTTCAAGACGACTAGAGCTAGGCATGGGAAGAAATGGACGAATAGTACCCTGAACAAATAATAGGTGAGGTAATAACCATCTTCGGTGATGTACTCCTTAACCCAAAAGGCCACAGACTTGGTACACACTGGGACTGTTGTGTTGTGCCAGGAGACGTAGACCTGAAACAAAAAAAAGAAATTATTGAATTTCGGTAGTATTGGAAAACACAAAATAGCCTCCACAATCCTTTTTCTTTTGTAAAAAAATGTGGAGGCAACTTATTTGATTTCGATTTCATCAGTTTCTCCAATCATGTATTCCCTATTGCTCCACCCCTGGGAGATATTTTGTTAGACAATGTGCATATGATTTCAACTCATTTTCTGAGAGACAATCAAGGTGAAAGTTGATTGGTTTATGATTTTTTCATACATGCGTTTTCCCCTTCTACTATAGGTAGCAGAGTGACGTCCGATTGACGTCATTATTTAGTCATAAAATGACGAAGTGGACGTCCTGAATCAACGTCTGAGGCACCCTATAGTGGCGTCAAAATGTCACATCCACAAGACGTCATATTTACACGTCAAAGTGACGTCTAAGAATTATTTGAAAAGAACGAAATATTAAGAAGAAATCTGAGGTGTTTCAAAACTCAGTCAAGATTTCAGATTATCATAATTATTATCATTTTTCAGATCAAAGTAAAACTTCTTTCCTATAAACATGTGTCCGCAAACGCCTCGTTACTTACAGAGCGTTATTGAAATTTAAGATTTTTTCTTTATAGCCCAGCTCTTAGTTTTCGATATATTCAGATTAAATTTGAAATAGAGGCTAGGTTTCAAGGTTCACATTTGACGGTATGTCGAATGATTGTAAGACGGAGATATTTTTTCACGGGACAAACCCTTTTTCCCTTCATAAACTTTTTTGTGGTGTGCGACTGGTAGATATTAGAATACTTAATGATATCTTTGTTTCGTTGGTAAATATCCTTGCCTCTTGTAATTTCTACGCATCTGTGACAGTTATCTAGAAAAAAGTCAATTTTTGTAATATGCTATGTTAAATTGATATTTTTAACAAAAGGGAAGAACCTGAAATAAAAAAGGTACATATTCAGTTTGTGATCTTAATTGGAAGTTTCCAAACATAACCCAAAGAATGAGAAACCGAACGAACCTTGATTTTTTATAAGGGGTGTTGGAAATTAAAAAAATCTTGGAACTTTAAACGCTCTGTATATCGGTAACGAAGCGTTTGCCGACACATACTCATGGAAAAAAGGATTGTTTTGACCTGATATAAAATATAAATCCCTGAAATCTTTATACTGAATTTTCAAACATACCCTGTATATACTTTTGATGAAATTAATTTAAAACAATCTGCAATGTGGTGACTTGGTCGATGGTCGCCCCGGGTAGTTCTATTCAATTTGAATTTAAATTAATTTATTCCGATCTTTATTTCTCAATAACATCGGAAAATTATATAAGGCAACATTTTTAAAGTGTATAGATAAAAACAATCTCCGCTCAGTGCCGTCGGCTGGTGTAGGAAAAAGAGGAGTTTGTCCATACCATGCTTACAGTCCCGCCAAATGAGTTCTGACTCCTCTGGGGCATAGCTCCTTACAACAAACGTTCACCGAGATGAGCCAGATGGGTATAGTGTTGAACACAAGCATTTCGTGATGGAAATTGGAGAAAATAAAAACAAAAAACGGCGTATGACTATAGGCGCTGCCCAGAATCGGCCGCTAGTAGTAGTCCTGTTCCGCTATCATTAGTAGGTATGCAGCTCTATACGAGAATATCGTACCTAAAATTTTGCAGTGAGCATAGGTGATATGTAAGTGGAATAAAAGTAGTTTTATTGCAACGTAGCGAACGACAGTTGGCAAATAAAGCTTCACTTTGTAGAAAAACATACTCAAATATCGTAAAATAGAAGATGAAAAGGTAGGGACTTTGTAGGGACGTCATTATAAGACCTCCATTATTATACGTCAATATGACGTTATTAAAAATAGCGCCATTTGTAGGTCATATTTCGGTCGGGGACCTCGTGGACCAAAAACATTGTTCCTCCCTTGGCAGTCCCCGCGAGATTACCCTTCGAGTTGAGACTTCGCACCCCTTCGTGGTCACTTTGGAGAACTGCAGAACATCTCTTTCCAAAGACTCGTTCATCCAACGAACAGCAAGGCTCTGGAACACATTGCCAAGGGAGGTGTCCCTCGAGGCATATAACCTCCAGAAATTTAAGAAGAACACCAATTCCTACCTTATTTCCCTTGATTCTCACGATGTTCTCCGAACATGACAGGATATCCCTTCCCGTGGGAACCAGAACATAAAAAAAGATCGTACTTCCATTACTTTGGACCGAGGATTTTACTGCAAGAAATTTAGTGCATATTTTGTAGAACCGTGAGGTCTTGATGTCCAACGTATTGGACATCAGGACTTTTATTTGATTCTCCTGCGATATTCTAGAAGTTATGAGTCATCTAATAAATTTGTTAACACCTGGTATATGCCACATTTGTAATTTCATCACTTGCCCTAATTCGATCCTTAATAAATCCTATATCGCTCTTGATCAACAACTCTCGGGATAGATCAATCACTCATACACACAGTCAGTATATAAAAACAATATTGCCTTTCTGGCATCCCAAACGAAATATATTAGCATGATTGGAATGGGAATTCAATCAGGCTTCCAAGGACCTAGATATAAATACGAAACGCGAACCTCCTTTGGAGTTTTCCTGATTTGAATTTTCCATTTTCACTTTTCCTGGAGAGTATTATACGGTCTCCTGGATCTTGTGAATAAGTGTGAAAAGTTGGGAGCGATATTCTTGATAATTGGATGGGAGTGAAGTGATGACTTGATGCCCTCGGAAAGTCAGGAACTTTCTCAAAATGTCCCTTGTTCGGATTGATAATCCGTCAAAATAATTGGATCAGGAACTTCTCAAATTCATCAAAGTGGAAAGTTTTGCTATTGTCAGCAACCATAATTTTTATGAATGATAATAAAACAACAAAGTAATTTTGTCAGTCCAAACTAAATTGATGTAGAAATTTCAGGATATACTTCCGTCAATTTCGACGATGAAGAACAATTTCTTTTTTATACAGGGTGGAAAAAAAGCGCGCCTGAGTCCGATTGCTGGAGTTACTATGAAGGCTAGAACATATATACGGTGTGTCCCAAATTCGATCCTCACCATTGGGATCTCAGTAACTATGAGAGATAGAGAAACGGTTGAATTAGCAAAGTTGTAGCAAATTTAATGTTGAATAAGAATCAATTGAGAAATCCGGGCTAGCTTTAGTCATTCTTGAGTTATTTGAGAAAACTGAAATCTTTTTATTTTTGTTTTGTTCGAATATCTCGGAAACTATTGATTTTATGAAAAAATTATTCCAACATTCTCATAGCACTCTTTGATGTTCTTTTCAATGGTTTTGTCAGTTTTCCATCAAAATGCCAAATTTTTGAGATATCACCTACAACTTCAATTTTTCTTATGGACGCCATATTGGATTTCAACAGATGTGAAATCAGCATAAAATTTCCTTTCTAGTGATGTATCACAATCACAGTTTTATTTTATTTGGGGTACTGATTTTCAAATTTTTGTTTTTATGTCAAGTAGGCTATGAATTCTGTAACTAATAAATAATACTCGAAGTTATCTCCATGACAATTCATTACTTCACTCCACCCTGACTTTTACCTTAGATTATGAAATCTGTGTTCTATGTTATTGCATAACTTAACAGGTGGATAATACAAATACTGAAAAAAATTAATTGAACTGCTGTAAATGGCCCCCATTGTTCTAGATACGTTTTAATATTCGCGAGCGAACATGATTCGCTGCTTTTCTCAGATGAACTGTGTTGATGTGCTGGAATTTGTCCATAACTCTCTCGTAGATCATCAATATCTTGAATTGGCTCTTCATAAATTTTATTTTTGGCGTAGCCTCACGGGTAAAAATCGAGAGGCGTACAATCAGGCGACCTTGGAGGCCATCTAACATTTCCATGAGTAGTTATTAATTTAGCACCAAATTGATTATCGAGATATCGATATCGATTATGCCACACTGGTTGACGAACCAATGACAAAACTCGAATTGACGTTCATTATCACCAGGTCTTAACCCTTGTACTGTCACTGGTTTTTGTGAACGGCATTGTTTGCCCCGAAATAATTAACTTGTATTTTCTCTTGACGTTTACAGAAATGTCACTTGACTCCAAGCCTACTCTATGAAAGTTGTGATAGAACACATAATCGTTATTGTTTATAGAGAGTTTAGCGCATAGCCTACTGGACATAAAAATAAAAATTGGAAATCAGTTCTCCTTATAAGATAAAACTGTGACTGTTAGAAAGGAAATTGGCGTCTATGAGAAAAACCGTTGTTGTAAGTGATATCTCAGAAATTTGACATTTTGATGGAAAACTGACAAAACCATTGAGAAGAACATCAAAAAGTGCTATGAGAATGTTGAAATCATTTTTTCATGAAATCAATAGTTTCCGAGATATTCGAGAAAAACAAAAATACAAGATTTCATTTTTTCTCAAATAACTCAAGAATGACTGAAGCTAGCCTGGATTTCTTGATAGATTCTGATTCAACATTAAATTTGCTACAACTTTGATAATTTAAGCGTTTCTCTATCTCTCATAGTTACTGAGATACCAATGGTGAGGATCGAATTTGGGACACACTGTATATAGTCGACCAAGGTTTTTATGGTGTAAATCTGCCTATGATGTTTCAGATTTCAATAAAAAGTAGTACATGTAGACATCTGTGCGTTACTGAACAAAAATAGTTTGAATTTCGGCATTATTTGTCAAGGTCGATAAAAAGATATTAATCAAAATTTACAAGCCTTACTCACAGTAGCCATCAGTACCATCAAATAAATGAATGCTTCTCCTTGATTCTCCCACTAAAGATAGGTACACATGATAAAGAAACAGTGGCTCAATACATATTTTTCATTTTCTGGTCTGGTTTCACCAGAAATGGCGCCAGTCGTTTTGAATTTTTAAATGGAACACTCTGTATATTCCATTGATTTCTATTTCTACACAACTCGGGATCCGAATGTGACATTTTCAAATAATTTTA